GGAAGTTGCTGCAATGTGTGCAGCTACCCACATACAACCTCCAGGCACAGCAATTACTTCTCTAGCATGCCTGAGCCCTACCTTTTCCTTTAAATCTTCTTTAGGCCAATGAATCCCATAAGTTTTTGGATAATATTGGCTACGTATTTGGAGCATCCTAGATGGTGTCCATTAGTGGCTGTAATTCATCCTTAATCTTTTTCACATGAAAGCCTATCTAATTCAACAAACCTTCGCCTCCTGAAATAGTAACGCTGTTGTGAGGGCATTCGTCTGGGAACATCATTCGGCCATCTCGCAGGTAGTTGAGGATATACTTGAACAGAGTAGGATCACGATCGATGAACACTTCGCCCTTCTGGAAAATTAATACTATAATAGTACTATTTCCCCAAGGAAATTGCATCACAACTCGCAAGAGGTACTGTACCGAGTAGTCCAGTGTTGTGAAAAAGCAGTCCTCGCTTGCTGGGCGACTTTTGAGGGTCGCTTCTGACGTTGAGAACTTCGTTCCACCGACATTCAATACAATAGGTGCAGTGGACATGATTCTGGTGACCGCAGAAGAAGAGAACGTCAACGAAAAGTTGAGGAGAAGAGCAAGAAGCTGGACCTTTTCCCAGGTGTTCTTCTTTTTATACCGTCGTTACTGTGACACGCGTCCATGTCCACGTTGGCCGTGGTGTTGAAATCACCGCTGGGCGAGGCGACGTATGACTCAGATCAAATCAGTTCCCATCACCTCGCGCGATAATAGCTCTGTTAGCATTTGCAGGGTTTCTTTAAGCATTTGCAGGGTTATTAACCTTTTTGTGGGCGGTGTAATCTCTGGTCCCCTTGTGAGATATTAGATTGTCCAGAAATTAATGTCGACCTTGTGACCCTGCTTTTTCTGTGCACATTTTGGCAACAAATTTATTGACGGGGATTCTATTATTGCATTTATTAGAGAAGATCATTTCATGCCCCTGCTCACGGTATTTCTTTATTATATAAACCACAACCTTGGTGGCCGGTCTGTTTGTGTTTATGTGTGTAAGTTTGTCTGTATGTCCGTCCA